AAAGGAGATAAAGAGAAATTTGAGATGTGAGGAAGATGTTGGATGAAGGGAGTAGATAAGGGAGTGCAAAAGGAAGACGGGAGATTGAAGGTAAAGCGGAAAGTGACCTGGAGGAGACGGGAAACGTTAGTGAAGAGGCACGTGGAAAGTGAGGTTAGGGAGAAAGGCGGGATTGAAGAAACGGAGGTAGCAACCCAGGTTACATGACGAAGAAGCTGAGCGAGTTGGCAGCATAGAATATCGATCGGGCGATCGATCTACCTGACACGAGACAGAAATTGTCGATGGTGATGCAGCAGGTGCGGAACGGAGCAGCGAGTCGTCTCGACAAATCGATGGATCGAACAATCGAGGGGGTCGGCCACATAGACAGGTGATAGAAAGGAAGAAGAGAAAGCGACGGAGGAGTAGAACGAAGAAAGAGAGAAGTGCCGAACGTGCGTGTGCTAGACAGATCGGCCGCCGCACGGCAAGAAAAAGGAGAGAGAAGGACGGGGAGAGAACGGAGAGTGAAAAGGGATGAGCAAAGAGACGTGAAAGGAGAGCGTAGAGTGAAAATCCGGGATAGGATAGAGGACGAAATGGACCGAGTGGAAGGTGAAGAGAAGAGAGCGGAAGAGGGAGAGTGGAGAGAGGTAAAGACAGTGGATACGAAAGAGAGATAAGAAAGAATCGGAAGAAAGGGAGAGAAGAAGTAGGTGAAGGCGAAGGAAGAATAATAGAGTTGGAGAAGTTGAAGAGAGACGGAAGAACGGACTGAAAGCAGAATCAGAGATCGGAGAGCAGAGAGACGAGACAAGAAGGGTAACGGGGTGACGCAGGAGCGGGGAAGAGAAACAGAGAGGTAGCAGGAAGAAAGATAGGGTGTGAAGGGCAAAGGAAGAGAAAGGAAGGAAGAAAGAGGAACGTTAGAGAGAGAGAGAGAGAGAGAGAGAGAGAGAGAGAGAGAGAGAGAGAGAGAGAGAGAGAGAGAGAGAGAGAGAGAGAGAGAGAGAGAGAGAGAGAGAGAGAGAGAGAGAGAGAGAGCGGAAGAGGAAACGATGGAGGAGAGGAAGACGAGGTGGAGGGCGAAAGGAAGAAAAGTCAGGGTAACGAATAGGAGAGTATGGATAGAGAACAGAAAGTGGAGGTGCAGTGAGGAAAGGGAAGAATGGGAGAAAAAGCAGGCTAAGAAAGAAGAGAAGGGAAGAATGTGGAGAAGGAGAGGGGAAAGGATAAGGATTAGGAGCAAGGAAGGGAGAGAGGGAACAAGAATGTATGAGGCCGCTATAGCCAGGACGGGATAGGAAGCACGAGTTATGTACATGGTTGTATACGTCCCTTCAAAACGCCAATGTTGTATGTTAAAAAAGATGTGAAACTGTACAGGGTTGGGTACGTCCCTACAAAACGCCCTTTTAGACCCCTTGGGGTAATAAAGTATCCATTATCTATCTAATACACATTGATTAAGAACATACGACATGTATACATATGTTAGAGATTTTTAATCGACATTTATATTGGCATTTCTTCTTATATTCTTAATTAGTTTTATATATGGGGCATTTCAGGCCTAATCGACCTAGGTTTGACCCTTGACCTCTCGAATTTGGTCGGTGATTTTTTATGTTATTGTTCCAACTCTAAAATGTACTCAGAATTTTTTTTAGATTTTCTTTATAAAGTTAATTTAGTTATAAATTTTTTAAACCGACTATTGATGGTTACAATTAAAAATCTGAAAAAATTCTCAAAAATTCTGTCAGATATCAAAATTTATACCATATATGGTCATTACCGAAACTCGTGCTGGCCTTCGCGTCAGCGGTCCTCGTCGCTAGGGTCAGGTTTCTCGCAGGAGGCAACTCGGAGTTGCTAAGTGCGATAACTTATTTCTAATATGTTGTGCGCTTACAACATGACCCACGTTACGTTACGTTACATTACCACATGAGAGTCTTGTGCGGAGGCTCTAATTGTAAGTATTTTACACAAGTTGCAGCAGCGGACATGCAAATGCGTAACAAAGTGAAGGAACATAGAATAAATATTATGCTTATTAAGCTTACATTATTCACATTTATGAATTTACAATTGTTTACTTGCTACTAGATTAATATAGACTATACAATCAACATACTGTAATAACAAGAAATATAATCTTTATAAGGACAATTGATCATATCATATCATAAATAACTACAGTCATTATATAAAATTGAATGAGATTTAAGATAATGGCGCATTCACTGTTTCAGTTGTAGAGCTCTGTGTGTCTGCGGGAAGCTTCTCTTGCAATTCTAACCATGGTAATCGTTTTTGCAGTTCCAACCTGTTGCAGAATAAGAACACAATATTAAAACCATTGATCTATTATTCTATTAGTACAGCTATTGTAAATTCAAAACAAGAAATTAAATGTATATATACAAATGTTTTAAATATATATATTCGTATCAAAATATATTGTATTTATCTAATATAAAAAAAAGGTTTAAAGCCACAACAGAGGGTGTTCTTATCGTTTTTTTTTTGTTAAAATTATAATTTACATTACACACGCTTTGGTCTGTTATGAATTCATCTTTAATAAAAACCGATAAATAAAAAGATATAAAAAAATCGCAATACACGTATTGATCGCATTAAGTATTTATCGTAATATATCCAGACAGCCAAGTTTGTCGAAAGCAGATCTTGCAAAGTATCTGCTACAAAGTTTGTCTATAGAAAGACTACAGATTTGACGCTGATTCTAATATATTACATGATGTCGGCAGAATGCCAACAGAAGCATAACAGAATCTGCTATCATAATTAGACAGCAGATTGAGCAGTGACAGAAATCGAGCAGATCGTGCTGGAACCATTCAGGTTCTGTGCTATTTCTGCTGCCAATCTGCTTACATTGTCTGTTAGTAGGCTCTGTCTGCGCGATTTCTGCTGCCAATTTGATTATGTTAGCAGACTCAGATGACAGAACATAAGCTGAATGTGGACGCAGTTAATATCAGTCTGCTTATCAGCATATGTCGGATCAAATCTGTTATCAATCTGCCGACAGACTGCTATCATATATTTCGAATTAACCGCAAATCTGTTCTCTTAGTATGGAAAAGTCAAATAATAAATTCTAATTACCCGGGAAAAAAAGATTATATATAATTATATATAATTATATATAATTATATATAAATATATATGATTATATGTGATTATATATAAAATTTGGTACTTTATATAAAATTATATATGGATTCATCTATCATCTATATATATAAAGGAAGATGTCCTGACTGACTTACTGATTCACTGACTCACTGACTCATCAACGTCTAGCCCAAACCTCTGAATCAAATTTTTACCAAAAGTATATGAAATAGAGGTAGAATTTTTTGGGGAGTGCCACTATGTGTATAGTTTTTTGTTACCGATTTTCTGGAAACCGGTTTTTTTAATTTTTCTAATTTTCTTATAAATCAAACCGGTAGAATTTTCCGGAGAGTGTTATAAAGATAATTTTTCGTTACCAATCTTTTTGAAAGCCAGTTTTTTTAATTTTTCTTTTAGGGAAATAATTGATTGAATCTTAAGGAGGTTCTACAGGTACTCTCTAGTCAGTTGAGAGATAAAGAGAAAATCTTCAAATTCATCGATTCTAAGTATTCATAAAATATTTTCGTGAATTTTGATGACGTTAGAGCTTATATCATACCCATATTAGTCAAAGCGAGGAATAATTAAAAATATCGTGTAAGTGCTCCTTTGACTCTGGCGGCTTATAATGGCAGAAAATGTGGTAACGTCGCGAACTTGACAGTTCTGCTCATATGACCGTGGTTATTTCACAATTTCACATAATTCTAGAGCGAGTACTTCTCCGTAAGCGTTCGTAAACGTTAGGTGCTTAAGTTTGAGGTGCTGTCATACTGTGGTGCTGTACTGGCTGTACACTTTTCGCGCGGGTGCAGTCGCTGCGACATTGTCAAATCTCCCTTGTTATTCGAAGCACGCTACGTGAACTGTGATATGGCCTGTTTCAATAGCCAATATCACAAAATTTTACGCGATAACCCTTGTTTTTCTCGATATTTCTGAAAAGCTTAGATTAAGATCTATAAGAGCTCCGTTTTTTGAATCTCTGGTAGGTCGCCTTTATATAATTAATATCTCGTTTCCTGTCTCCAAGAGCCCCTCTGCCATATGTAGCTTATGTTAAAAACTGTGATTTCAAAATTCATTTTTGCAAATTTTTACACGGTAACCGATGCTAAAATTTTTTGAGCACTTTTCTCGCATCTCAATTTATACGTCCATAAAGTTTTTTCCAATTTTTAGATACATCCATTATCTGTAGAACCTCCTTAAAGAATAATTTTCCAGGGAGTGCCACTATGTATATAGTTTTTTGTTACCGATTTTCTGGAAACCGGTTTTTCTAATTTTTCTGACCGAATCTCAAAGAATTATAGATCAAACAGGGGTAGAATTTTCCGGGGAGTGTTATAAAGTGTATAATTTTTCGTTATCAATCTTTTTGGAAGCCGGTTTTTTTAATTTTTTTTTAGGGAAATAAAATTGAATCTTAAAGAATTATATATGAAGTAGGGGTAGAATTTTTCCGGTAGAATTTTCCCGTTACATAAATACCGATTTTTTTTTATTTTACGGAGAGCGCCATGATGTGTACAGTTTTTGTTTCCGATCTTTTTGGAAACCGGTTTTTTTATTTCCAATTTTTTGGGAAATAATTGATTAAATCTCAAAGAATTATACATGAAGTAAGAGTAGAATTTCTCGAGGAGTGCTATAAAGTGTACCATTTTTTGTTCCCGATTTTTTTGAAAACCGGTTCCAAATGACCGAATCTCAAAGAATTGTACATAAAGTAGGGGTAGAATTTCTCGGGGAGTGCTATAAGCTGTATAGTTTTTTGTTACCGATCTTTTTGGAAATCGGTTTCCAGAGGGAGAGAGAGAGGGAGAGAGAGGGGGAAAGAGGAAGAGAGGGAGAGAAAGAAAGAGAGAGGGAGGGAGAAGGAGAGGGGAAGAGAGAGAGAGAGAGAGAGAGAGAGAGAGAGAGAGAGAAAGAGAGAGAGAGAGATTATTTGCGTGTTTTATTACATATGCCCTCCGGGGCAAAGCCCGGGTAACCAGCTAGTTATACATATATGAGCACGTATAATAATAAAAGAAAGTGAATAATAATAATAATTTTTACATTTGCAATTTTACAAAATTGAATGCGTTTATAAAATGCAATCAAATTTTTTAAAATAATTTTTTCGGTTTTTTTTTACAACAATCGATTCTTTTCATTATTCTACGTATAAAAGTATGAAGGTAAAGATCAAAAAGTAAATACTTTATGAGATAGTTCATATTTTATATTAAAAATATTATAATAAAATTTTAAATATCAGGAAATTCTTAACGAAAGAGAGTTTTATCATAGTGTTTTGAAAACGTATTGACGAGCTCTACAACTTTTATTTCAAAGAAAAAATCAATTTCTATTTAAAAAATTAGTCTCCTTTCTTGAAAATGACAACTCACATTGGAATCATATATCTCCTTTCAAACCAAACAACTTTTGTCTGAATTATTTCTTTTTAGAATCACAAATAACAAAATTGTTGGGGGTGATTGATTAAAATGGGACTTATACAAAGAAGCATTTATCCACGTAGATTAAGGTATTCCCCTATATATAATTATATGTAACCATATATAAACACAACACATGTATATTATATATATTGTGACGCGTATTCCCTTGGTCTTGCCATTCGAGGGGGCACGCCGTAAATTAATCGGTAATCCCTGTTACGCTACCCCAATGGTAGATTGACCATATAGGTCCTCAATACTCGGTATGGGCGCCAGGTGCGAATACTCGCGCCACGGTGCGGTAATTCCAACCCAACAAATACTTCAAGGGTACATCCTTTAATATTTCTTATCGCTGTCAGTCTTCTGGGAGGAAGAGAGAGAGCGCAGCGCAATTAACACACAATACAATAGTAACAACGGTTTATTTCAAATGGATTAGTAGTATGGTATAACAAGTAACAGTCTCTTGAATAACAAATAATATCGTAGTGAATACGGCTAAAGATCCTTAACCACCCTGGTGGAAAAATTTTACTGAAATTTTGCGGAAATTTTGCTGAAAGTAATTTTTTCAGCAAAAGTACTGAAAGGTCGCTGAAATTAAACTATAATTTTTTCGTAAATTTGTCTAAAAATTTCCTGAAATTTCTTTAAAAATAGGCTAAAATTTCGCTAAAAAATTATTTTTAGGCAAATTGCTGAAGATTTGCTACAACTTCTTCAAAAAGTTCTCTAAAAATTTACTAAAAATTCTCTGAAAAATTACTAATATTTCTCTACAATTTCTCTAAAATTTCGTTGAAAAAAGATTTTCGGCTAAATTGCTGAATATTCACTGAAAATTTTGTAAAATTAAACTGAAATTTCTCAGAAATTTTTTTGAAAACTTGGTGATATTTTTCTGATACTTCGGCTTAAAGGGTTGCATAATTGCTAAAAATACTCGGAAAGTGATATTTCAGCAATTACTTTTTTATGAAAAAAAAAAAAAAAGATTTAAACATGTTTGAAGAATAATGAGATTATGTTTATATTTGTATATCACAATAATATTTAACATTTATTTTGTAGCATTAATATGTTGATAATGTTTTTATAAAAAAATGTTACAAAAATTATTGTAAGATATTTAAAATAGGATTTTTTTATATTGAAGATTTTTTTAAAGATAAAAAAGATTATTTAACTACAAACTTACTTTTTATACTTTTTATCAAAGAGACACGGTAGTGTTCCGCGCCAAGTACACGCGCAGCACGAGACCGCCGTGTATCTTTACGCGTACCCACCGCACGGCGGAGCAGTAATTCCGATCATGGGAAAGAATTATTACCATCACGTGCTACAGTTTCTAGTTGCGCTGGCCGTAGGTACTTTAACCGGTGATGCCTTTATCCATCTATTACCACACGCGATGATGCCGCCTCATCATCATGAACACGACGAACATCAGAGACATGATCATCACGACGACAGTAGCGCGTTATCAATTGATCATGTGAATTTACATAGCATGAACATGTGGAAAGGATTAGTCGCTATGATGGGCTTCGTGTCGTTCTTCTTCACTGAGAAGGCGTTAAATGTGATATCCGAATGGCGGAAGCACTGGCAGCATAGGAAGAAGTTGCCTACGCGCGATGAGAGTGATGCAACGAACGAGTTACAAATACCCGAGATTTTGAAATCTCAATAACGAGTGAACGGATCAAGTTCTAAG